GTAGTATAATAAAATTATGAATGTAAGACTTTCAATCTGGCTCCTGCCAGCACTTGGTCTCCTTTTGTGAAGTTATCCTGAGTTGCAACGATATATAATTGTTATGGGATCAAAGTAACTTATTTAAGGCAAGTGGAGCATGACGAGAAGCTGATCGGTGATTGGTAAAACACTAATATTATGAGTTTTTTTTGGCTCCTGAGGCCTCACTAATTTTTAGCTCTGCAATATATGTCAAACAATATACAAGATGGTAAGGAAAAAAAAAGAATAAAGACTGAAGGTAAAGATGAGGATTTGCAGCTAATAATTTTTATATTATTTTGAAAGTGTGGGTTTTTAGGCTGTGTTATACACTTCGGAATTAGATAATTATAATTATGGAGATTGTGTGGTGCTAGTATGTTCAAGTACAGGCAATATGTTGGGTTTTTTTATTGTATCTAAATCCAAAGGTTATATAAGAATGAATATGATATGAGTACTTTTGGTAAAAGTTCTATTTAATAGCAGTTTTTGTTTAACCCTTTCCTTATGGCTAAATAGTGATTTTTGTGTGTCATGGGGTACATAGTCTTCTGCTTTGGCTCAGATTACATGTTATGATGCCCATAATACACCATCTATAGTTTTTAATGAATTAGAAATACAAATTAGCAATACTGACAAGCTAGAATATAAAATAAGAACCTCCTACCTTTTCTATTAGGTGAGATATCATTATATTTACTGAACCCACCATAGTAGCTCTGCCCACTGCTTCCTCTTTTGAAAATACTTGTTTATCTATGCCCATTTCTCTTAAGTACATGATTATATACAATCAATAGTGCTCATATTGAACTACGGAATCTTGTTTGTCTTCCTAAAGTATCTATTAGTTCGTCAAGAAATTAATGTAGCATTTTGGAACACTTTCATTAACTACCCCCCAAAAAAACATACATCACATATAATAGTTAAATGAACCACCTAAATGTCACATTAGTGTAGCCTATATAATGTGTAAAGTTTAGTATACTCTAATCCCTTAAAGTGATGCCACACGATGAGACACACATTCGGCATGTAATGCAGTTTGAATCACAAGGGAAACGACGCCTCTGTAGCCACAAAGAATGTCAAAGAAGTTTATGGAAATGTTTTGAATGTTTGTAAGTGTCAACAATGGTTCAGCAAATATTCTTCAGGTGACTTTAGCTTAAAAACTGTGATGGTAGGGGCCGACATGTTGGAATTGATATTGATGCTCCAAAGACGCTTGTTGAGTCTAACCCAAGACAACACACTTGTGAAATGGCCCTGATATTGCATGTCTCTCATGAAACAATACATAAACCTCTAAGGAATATGGGAAAACTTCATAAAGAAGGTGTTTGGGTGCCTCACGAACTCTTCGATGATCATCGTTTCCAACGTGTGAATGTTGCTTCATTTCTTTAGGCGCGTAAAGCACGTGAACCATATTTGGACAGAATTGTCACCGGTGATGAAAAATGGATTCTCTATGTGAATATGAAATGCCAAAAACAATGCCTCAGTCCTAGACAAAAACCACTTCTGACCCCAAAACCTAGACTCCATCCTCAGAAAGTGATGCTTTGCATTTGGTGGGACATCAAAAGAGTAATTCATTTTGAACTCCTCAATCCACAGCGAACTGTCAATGCAAAGATCTATAGTCTGAAACTGGAATGTTTATAAATCGAGCTCTTCATCAGAAACGCCCTTCACTCGTCAATCGGAAAGGTGTTCTTCTTCTCCACGACAATGCATGTCCACATGTAGCACGTTTGACTCAACACATAATTATGGAGTTGTGTTGGGAAGTTCTCCCCATCCACCATATTCTCCAGATATGGCACCATCAGATTACCATATTTTTTGTCTGCTGCAACACCATCTTAATGGGAAAACATATGAAAATGTGGAAGGTGTTAAAGAAAACATTGAAATGTTTTTTGCTTTAAAGCCATGTGATTTCTTTAATCAGGGCATTAACAACCTGATTGTAAGGTGGAAAAGCATCATCGATAAGAATGGAGACTATTTAATAAATGTTTTGTTTTGATATATATGTTGTTTGGGTTTTTTCATCTAAAAAAAGCAACATTAATTTCTTGACAACCTAATACATGGGTAAAGCCTTTATTTATAACTGTTGGAGAATTTGATATGTGATAATCAAGGTGATATTCTGATCAGAAAGGAGATTTTTTAAACCTAAATACAGCTTTTTTACAAAGCCCGTTAAACTACAGTGGATTTTGTTGTATCGGTATAGTAATTTATAGTTTCTTGTTGTTCTAAATTGCATGTATAAAGTCTACAAAAATTAATTTTTTATATTCTCCTCATGCAAAATTCAATAAGGCTGAGCAATTACATCGCATGAGTACAAACATTTTGTAATATTGTAATAAAGGTCATTGTTTTCCTTTTTTATATTTACTGTTCAATGTTTTGAGAAAAATAACTGAAATTTAATAATTTATTTGTAAATAGTAATAATGTATATATATATATATATAATGTATGGTAACTGAAGTGTTACTGTCTGTTGCAAAATACTGGTACATTAAAACTAAGAAGAGTAAGACATTTGTATTTTGTAAAGACCAGTTTTATGCTATTTGATACAGTAACATGAGCTACATGTGCATCTCTGAATTATAACTTGTGTAGCAGGATTGTTAAATATATATATACTGTTATGAGTTTTAAGCTATTTAGAATAAAGAGTTGTGGTATCCTGTTACAATTTGCTGTCATTCTACAAATAAAAAAGGGTAATTTAGATTTATTTCCTCATTTTTTATGGTGGGTAAATTAAGGGTAATATAGAGTTAGGGTAGAGAAAATAACAGATAAAATATAAAGTTTTTACAAAAAAAAATTTTATTTAAGAGGTTTTAGAGACTATGCAAGTGAAATTTGCCAATTTTCAGATAAAGAAACTATTGGATAGTCAACATTCTGAAAGCAAAACTTTTCTAATAAATCTTTAGTTAGAATATTTAACTAAAAAATCATACTTATTTTGTACAAAAGCCTTGTAATGTTTATTCATAGTCTGTGAAATTTTATGAAGGTATGCCTATGTTTCAAAAGTTATGGTATTACAAATTTCATGGTTACTTTAGTGATTACGTAGTGGGTGCAGTACACCTGCCCTCAGTCAAGGCCTAAGTGTAATAAGTAATGTAAGAACAAAATGAAAAATTTGACACTGGAGTGGTGTAATACTATTATGTAAAATCACTGTTAGTAGACTTGTGTATGGAAGCACATTACGTTGAAACAGTAACAAAGTAACAAACAATGATTTATTAGTATAATGAAAATATTTTATGTAGTAAACATAGTGCATGTTTGAACAGGGCATGGATTGAAAAAAAGAGATAAATTTTCTGTTTAAACAAGTAATATATTCTTGACATAAAATAATTTTAATTATGCATATAAATTGTTTTTTAATTTACTGTAACTGTCAGTGACGAACATATTTGTGTACAGTAAAACTTTTATTTATCTAAGTTACTTCAGTCTCTACTATTACAATTATACATCATGCAACTCTATACGTTGTGGATTTTTTAGCAGCAGGTCTGATTCCACATATGAAGTGTCTTATGTGTACTATTAGAATTCACAGCTGAGTTATTTGTAAGTAAAATCTGGCAGTCTTGTGAACAAACAAAAGTTGAATAAATCTGAAACTTTTTGGTAATGTGATTGATTGATAGATATGATGTCAACTTAATTTAAAGATTTCAATACTTTTTATGTAGGTGAGCTTGATGCACACAGTTTCAAAGCACTTGCAAAAACATTACAGTGAGCTCTGGATGTTTTTGTTTATGTATACAGTTGTTTTATAGATATTGGAAATATTACTTTTCTGTAGTATATGGTTATCAACTGAAAGTTTTATATATATTTTTGTGCATGTAAACAAATCAGAAGATATTCATTTAATAAATACTTGACCTGTGAGAAACATACTTGTAAAAGAATATTCCATTTTACAGTAGTGAATTTGTTCCTCCTTTGTATTAAAAGTCAAAACATGAAATCAAAATAGTTTAAATCTATAATGCGGTTTATGCTTCAATAGCTTTTTGGGAATTAAATTAAAAAGTGTGATTGGTATGTAGTATCATAAACAAATGAGAAAACTGCCTTTGTTTTGTAAGCTCTGATAAAATACCAATAATTTGAAGGTAGTGTGAATGATCATGTTGAAACTTTGGAACATGACATTTAAACAACCTGTGACTTTTAAGATACAGCCTGTTTTGTCTTTATTAAACAATATATAAGTAATGATCTGCAATTTCACATTTTATTATTATATTTATTAGTTCAATAATACATTTCAGGCATAGATCAAATGGTTGGGGAATAACAATTTGGTCAGGAAGTTTAATTCTACCCCCAAACTGTAGGAATCATATGAAATGACTGGTTTGTACTTAACATTGATCATTGGAATGTGTGTTAAAGTGACAAAAGTCCCATGTTTATTATTCATCCTAACTGTAAATAATGTGAACATTTGGTGCCCCAAAAGAGCCTAGAAAGCACATAAGATCTCCTAGTTTCTTAGGCCCTTGGACTTCCAGCTTTTATAGGTTGGGAAAAAGGACCAGTCTAAACTTTCATTTGTTGTTCTCATACCTGATGAAGATATTGCTAGAAATGTTGTTTGCAAAATATAGCTAGTAGATGAAGCTGGTTACACTATCCTGTATGAAGTATAAATGCATGTTTTTAGATTGGTTGTTTTGGAAATCCGAGTTTTAAACTAACTGCTTCAAATGTTTTTGTTTTTTTTGCATATTATTCATTCTCACTGTTATTGGTACTTGTCTTCCTTAACTGTTTTTACATACAAAATAAGAAACTGATCAGTATTTGTCAGTTTGGATAATTTAATGTTGTAGCTTAAGCTATAATTGTGTTGTCTAATAACTTTTTTTTTATGTTTATTTTAACAGTAGGAGGAATCAGTATGAAACTTCTACAGCAACAGCAGATCCTCTTAGCTTTACTGAAAGGGACGAGAGTGTTGTTTGGCAACCAAGAGCTTTTACGACAAATTTTGCTTCAGTCTTGCAGCCTTGACTCTTCCCCTCTTGAAGCCTTGGCTACAGCTAGTATTGAAGCTGTGGGACCAACTTCATTGACACCCCTTGCTGCCTCCACATCATCAATTGAGGAAAGTTTCAGTGAGGCATCTCCTCTACCACTTCTTATCCAACATTTGACTTCAATAGCCACTCAGCCTTCTCCATTAAAAGCAATTTTCCCTAAAGAAGAACTAGAGGTAAAATGAATAGTGGAATACATAAAATAATATTGATATTGTGTATTTTTGTATCACTTATGAGAGGTTTAAGAAATTTAAGAGTAAACATTTGAAAAACTATTATTTCTTGGGTTTAACTCAAAACTGGTTGATAAATTTTCACTTTTGTCTGTGAGATGTCATAAAAAATGTAAATTATATAATAAGTAATAGCTTACATGCTGAACTTACCTGATTGAGTTCTGGCCTCAGTTTATAAACGAGTAAGCTCTATTTTATACAGAGACTGCGTTCACCATTGGCCCTTGTTAAGATCTTAAAGTAATTTGAATGGAAGAGTACATCACATTTATCTAAGGCATACTCCAATATGTACATGATCTATTTGGTGCTCTTAAGTTTGCATCTTCTTTCACTTCTGTTGGCATTTCTACTGTCATGGATCTTACATAACATTGCTTGGAAAAAAGATATGCAAGTTCATAAAATACATTTGATGTTTTCAATGAAAAAAAAATGAACTTTATATCTGAAGTTATACTGCAGGCAAAATGTAGGTTTAAAAATGTATCACTACTGTACCCAATAAAGTAAAGTGCATTATTGTTTTTTAATAGATGAATATTTTCCAGTAAATGGTGAAGTTATGTAAACTGGACATTCAGCTACTTCACATGTTGGACGCTTACCCGAATTTTTTGGTCAGTCAGATAAATAGGAAAGTCATTTTTGCGTCGCAAACTTTTGATGTTAGTTGTTTATGCAAAAGTGAAGAATTACGGCATTTTCTTTAAACATAGTTGATACATAACTTCAAAAAAGTTAAAATAAAGTTTAGTGAATTTTTCATATTTTAAACATTGCATTCAAAGTCACCATCACAATTATGCACTAATGTATCAAGAAATGCAAGTTTATGATCTTGCTTATGTTCCTCAGGAAACTTGGTATTTTTGTGTTTACTTTATGAATATTCTAAAGTTTAAGGAATATGATTTTGATCTTTAAAAATATGAAAAGTATTGTCTACAATTTGAAGGTGGGCGAGTTAACTGATATCCTTCGAGCATCAATTACATTTTTTAGTGTCTTGTAAACTAATTGATTAATCAAACTTATAATTATTTGATTAATGTCACAAAAATAATCAACTAATCAAAATTAAGAATTCTGATTATTACTGTTTTTGACTATTCCAACAATTGATAAACCCTCTCATTACTGGTAGGTTAAAGTGAGCATGTCACAAAATTGTAGAAAGTTATATTCAAAACTTAACTATTTATTGCCATTGCATATGAATAAACTTGGTATCAAAATGTAGTTAATAAATTAACTTTTAATATTATATAAGATTTGAGCTCTTCATTTTATACAGAAGTAATTAAAAACCCTCAATCTCCCCGGGTATGAGAATTGTGACATTTGTTCTCTAGGTCTTCCCTCTTCTCTAATTTATACATCACCCCTCTTAGAAGTACGAAATTTAGTGTAAATTGCTCATTATGATATAGTTATGACTCAGGCAAGGCATAATTTTTAGTCTTCAATCATATTTGTTTACAGAGCCATAAACTAGAAAATCAGACCCACTTGCCATGCCCACCTGTCACATCCTCTCTTTCACAAATTGCTAATAGTTCTCTCTGTCATTTTATACTACATTATTTATAAAAAATAGAAAGCCAAAGTTTTAGTCTAACAAATGAAAATATTATATTATGTTGTTTTCTGTACAGGGTATTGTCTATCTTGCCTCCAATTTGAAAATTTCTCTCAAAGTATTC